GGCTGGGCGCTCAGGAGTGCGGCCGCAGCGCAGCAGCCGGCCTCTCCCACCGCAGCCCGCCGCCGCCGCCGCCCCGAGCGATGGCCGGGAGCAGCTCGCTGGAGGCGGTGCGGAGGAAAATCCGGAGCCTGCAGGAGCAGGCGGACGCCGCGGAGGAGCGCGCGGGCAGCCTGCAGCGCGAGCTTGACTACGAGAGGAAGCTGAGGGAGACCGTAAGGGACCCACCCATCGCCCACCCACCCCCACCCAGAGGCGCCTCCGCCGCAGTCGGGCCCATTGCAAGGAGCAGGGCCCTCCGGAGCCCACCTACCGCTGCCCCCAGGCCTCCGGGGGTGCACCTGGCGCACCTGGGGCAGCTGGCGTCTGGTTCTAGGGAGTGGCCCTGCCTGTTCTTTTCAGCCCTTCCTTTCCATCTTAGCTGGTTTAAAGTAAAAGCTCCGAGGGGAAGCAGGAGTGGTGTTGAGAAGGTTCTGGAAGCAGCACTTTCCCAGAAAGGGCTCTATTTGGGGGGTTTTTTTTGCATTCGGCCCGGGTGTCTTGGGTCCCCCGGGATGTGCACTTTGCGCTGCTAGCCTTATTTACTCGAAGGGTGGGGAGGGAAGAGGGAAATCCTTTTGGAAATCCGTTCCCTTGGAAAGGGGCGCTGACAGGGCAAGTCTGGGGTACTGCCAGACTTTAGGGCCTGGGAATGCTAAACTCCACCATCCCCATTGACCATTGGTTTTCTGGAAGCCTGTTTCTTTGTGGGGGTTGAGACGTTGACAGCGCCAGGTTCTGACTTAATAGTAAGAGACCCGTTCACCGTTTCCTTTGTATTAACCATCTCGCCTCCCTAGTGGCCTTATACAGACATTCCTTTGTTACCGAGTATTGAAAAAAGTTGGCTAAATGTCCACAATGATTGGGTGTATTCTCTTGCCGGCTTCCCCCTCCCCCATGTTGAATGTAATACCTGGTGGCTTCCTTCCTTTCTCCTAAGGCAGGAAGAGGATTTCAGAGGTAGTTCAGGCATTTGCTATTTGTTGGTTTTTGAGTGTGTGTTTTAAATCAGGATACTCAAACACCTTGGGAATTTAATGACAAGCATAATATGGTGTCCAGCTGTGCTTAATATGGACCCATTCTGAGTTGAGTAAATCCTGTTGGTTAGGTGTTGGTAATGGCAATATGGCTGGCTGCAGAAACTTCAAGACCTGTTTTGCATAAAATGCATAGAAGCAAATGGGTTCTCTTAGGAGGAAGCCCTAACTAGAGGAAATTTGAGATAAAATACAGACGGGAATCAGGAAATTAATAAGCAAAAGATAATTTTCTTGAGAACCAGTCAACAGAGACTGCATAGATGTGTCTGAATTTGATAGGGCAATAAATTGATTCCGGTTCCCTCTCTGACTGGCTAGCCGCTGTCCTTGAGCCATTAAAACTAATAGAACATGATGGATAAGAACGAGAACTTTGGACCCAGACTGCCAGGATTTGAATTCTGGCTTCCACTACTTCCTACCTTTGAGGCACTGGGCAAATTAACTTCTCAGTCTCTCAGATCCCTAACTTTAAAATGTGGATAATACTAATACGTGCCTGTTGAGGTGGTGAAGGGAATTAGTATGTGTAAAGAAGTTACAGCGGTGTTTGGCACAACAGAGGAAGTGCTAAGTGTCAGCTGGTATTAAAACTGCACAGCACTTGGCTTTGCTCGTTGCCCCTTTGCCTTCAGTTCACCACCTATCAGAGGGTCTTTAAAAATGGCCTGCTCGTTTCACTACATCTGAAAACACTCCATATAAATGCTTTTAATCATTTTTTTTTCTTTTGGAACTTGGAGAGAGGGCATGGGCAGACTGGAGAAGATGTTTGGTTGAAGTGATGTCAGTGGCGGAAGTCAGTAGAACTCCCCTCACCCTCCTAAGAAAGGGAATATGTGGTCCTATCCAGGAGCGCCTTGTGATTGAGGTTAGAAGCAGAAGATTCATTTCATGAAGGGCACGTTGTTACTCTTACACTCATCTTCTCTTTTGTGCATCGTTTTCATGACAGTAGTCTTCCTGTGCCTGTCGGCTAAAGATGATGCTTTCATTCTTTTCAAAGTTTTGTATTTAAAGTGGTTTAATTGGTTCCGGTTTTTTTGAAAGTAATTTGGAAAACTCTACCCAGTTGACCCGACACAGAACCTTTTTAAGATAGCAGTTTGAGGACTGAATCAAACCATTGAAGAGACCATTTCAGATTGAGAGTTGTTTCTGACTTCTGCAACTGGAACTTAGAGGTAGCTTATTGAAGGCGGCCTCTTGGTAGTTCTCAGAGCTGTGAGTTAAGCTAGTCAGTTTATCTTGGCAGCAAAGATACAGGTTTAGTGACAGAATCCTGAGCCACTGCAAAAAATATCTGGAGAGTTGGCTCTAAATTCTGATTCTCAAAAGTTTGGACGTGCTATAGTTAATTGGCCCAGGGCGCCTGGGTGGCTCAGATGGTTAAGCGTCTGCCTTCGGCTCAGGTCATGATCTCAGGGTCCTGGGATCGAGTCCCGCATCGGGCTCCCTGC